AAGGTCATTGACGTTTCGCCGGAGAAACTAGTCAGCGGTTTTGGAATCGGCTCGACTTCCGAGAGGTCGATTCCCATTCGTGCTAGCGTGTTGCGGAAGATGACGTTGACCGTGCTTCCGGTATCAACCAGGATTCGCGCAACCTCTAGATCGCTTATCACCAAATCGATGACAAGGGGATCGGCATGCGGTTGGTCGAGTCCGCCGGTTTCAGCATCGTTGAAGGAGATTACTCCTGTCGGAGAATCGTCCATCGGCACTTTCCAACTCGAGCTGGTTTCGGCTTTACGTTGGTAGGATTTTATCGACGAGACGGTGTCGTTAAAGTATGGCGATTCGCCGATGATCATGTTGATTTTACGGCGGTTAGCGTCGTTGCCCTTCTCGTCTGTTTTTCTTCCGCGTTTTTCGCCCGACTGATTTCCCTGAGGCGGGGTTTGCGCATTTTTGTCATTCTTCGGGACGCGGTCCGAATCGCGGATGAGATCCTTGACGCTTAGTATCTCGGAAAGTTCTCCCGCGACTAGCTTCGCGGCCAGTCTGGCGCCGAGAACTTTGCAGTTCACGGTGGAATGCCCATGGGTTTGGTGGAGGTCGCAGAAAGAATTCTCGTCATAATTCGAATTTCTCGTCCACGTGTTTCCCGTAGTTCGCCCTTGCTCCGAACCAGAGTTGATAGCGTAGTTATGCGCCCCTCGGAGATCCTGTCCCTCGTGATGGACGAATTTGTCGTTACGAGAACTTTTCTTTTTCTGCTTCTGCTCGGACGCGTTATCCCTTGCGGATGTTTTCGTCGGCTTATGCTTCTCGGACAGGACTTTAGTTTCCTCCTCGATGGTTATGAAGTCGGTGGCTTTATGGAGCGCGTCCTGGATCGTCCGCGGTTTCTCGAGAGTTATCCATCTGCGGAACTCCGATTTATACCAGAGCGATTTTCTTAACGCGTCGATGGCGGCTTTGTCGCTGATCCTGCTAAACCTAGCCATGACGAGTTTGAACCTACTCATGAAATCGCGGAGAGATTCGTCTTCCTCCTGCACCAAGCTCCAGAGATCGGCGTCGGAGGTCTCCGGGTTGATGAACATCGAGTACTGTTTCAGGAACTCCGAAGCCAGTCGACGGAAACTTCCGATCGAATTTCGCCTATGTTTGGCGAACCATTCGAGCGCGGCTCCTTCTAGGTTTTCGACGAAGAGGCGGCAGTAACCTGCGTCTTTTTCGTGGTCCTTGAGCTTGGCTCGTCCCATGGTGATCTGGAACGCTTGCAGGTGCGCTTTGGGATCGGTCGTCCCATCGTAAGTTGGCACCTTAAGCTTTCCGGGATCGGGCAGTTTGATCTCGGTGAT